AGTGAGGAAACAGTGATAAAAATCTCCGAAGGGTTCAAATAGTTGGCACGAAGCCCAAATATGACAATCAGCCGAAATCATGATGATAACAATTGAATTTCAGTCAAATATTCGGTAAAATCATCAATCGGGATGGACCAAGTCACAATCCCCAGTAGTGAAAGACCCCACACTCATCATTCAGCGCTTATCTTGCCTTAATATAGCACTACGATGTGCAATCCGGGGTTTCAAACCCTCAGGACATCATTTACAACCATTACTCACCGTGAACTGGCTAATTCTCGAGCTCGCGACACCTTTACCCCTCAAATTCGCCTCCACGCGCGTCGAATCTATCAAAAATCAAAACGAATAGGTCACAATATGCTAAGGGAACATATCCCAAGCGAAAACATTCGAAAAATATCAAAAATCTCGAAATTAGCAAAACCCGAGCCCCAGGCCCACATCTCGGAATCGGGTAAAATTTACATTTTCAGAATCCTCATACCCTCACGAGTCTAACCATACCAAAATTATCCAATTCTGATACTACTTTGTCCTTCAAATCGTCATTTTACATTTTTGAAAGGTTTCACAATTTTCTTCCCAAATTCCATCCCAAATCACGAATTAAATGATGAATTCAGTGATAGATTCATGTGTTCTAGCCAAATCTTAGTTAAAATCACTTACCCCAATGAATTTTTTGAAAAACCTTCGAAAAATTGCCAAAATTCGAGCTCTCTAGGTTAAAATATTAAATAAAATCCAAAACCTCGTATTTATAGGTACCCCTCAGGTGTCAGATACCGCGGGCCGCACCAAAACGACTGCGTTCCGCGCAAGCCAGTGCGGTCTGCGCAAGCACAACCGCGGCCGCACAGGCCTTCCTCTACAGTGACAGGCTTTAGTATTTTGGCCATAACTTTTTCTACAGATGTCCAAATTGCGATATCTTTACCTTTCTGGAAACTAAACACAAAGGGCTACAACATTCATTTTTGAGTAACCTCAAAATTCCTTGTAAATCAAAAGATATGAGCTTTCGAAGTTGGACCGATGACCTGCAGGTCTTGATGACCGCGGGCCGCGTCACTTGACCGTGCCCAGCGCGAAAAGGACCGCGCCCCGCGCACAAATGACTGCCCCATCCATTTTCTAAGTTCCGGGATGTCCGTACTCGCTCAAAACTCACCCGAGGCCCCCGGGACCTCAACCAAAAACACCAACGCATCCTAAAATATTATTCAACCTCGTTCCAATCATCAAAACACCTCAACAATACCAAAACCATCGAATTACCTCAAATTCAAGCCTAAGTTCTTCTAAAACTTCCGAAATACGCTTTTGATCAAAAACCCAACTAAACCACGTCCGAATAACCTAAAATTTTGCACGCATATCCTAAATCACATAATGAAGCTACAGCAACTCTCGGAATTCCATTCCGACTCCCGGATCAAAATCTCACCTATCAACCGGAATTCGTCAAACTACTAACTTCGCCAATTCAAGCCTAATTCTACACCGGACCTCCAAAATAAATTCCGATCACACTCCTAAGTCTCAAATCATCTCCCGGAGCTAACCGAACTATCGGAATTCACATTCGAGCCCTCTAACTCATAAGTCAACGTCCGGTTGACTTTTCCAACTTAAGCCTTCTTAAAAGAGACTAAGTGTCTCATTTCTTATCAAAACCACTCCAAATCAACTCTATTATACAAGATACGGACAATAAAGCATAAAGAAGCTGAAAAAAGGAAAAACGGAGCGGTAACTCATGAGACGACTGGCCGGGTCGTCACATTTTGCCATTTGTATGTTTTTGAAGCTATTAGTAATATGAAATATGTACCTTCACATGGTAGATGTCATAAATTTCTTTTGAGCTGAGGCATAACATTCTCTGCAGGTTTGTCAAAAATAATGGCTGTTGCAAAACCACTATTGTCTCTAACAGTAACTTCAAATTGACATATGTTATAATGTATAGCAAATATTTGGTTAGATGAATAAAAATAAAATAACTGTAAACTCTAAATAGTCATTAGTCATATAGAAGAATCTAGTAGCATTTATACCTTGGAATTAGATGAGTGGATCGTTGACAGTTTGTACAATAAATTGTCCTCCGAGAGAAAGATCTCATGAACAATTGCTTACAGTCAGAACAAGTTAACACACAAAATCGTTGGTTCTCATTTGGCAGAGAAAGTTCAGCTTCGACATAAAATATTTGCCCCTATATAATTCAAGAATGCCACATTTTTTTTGTGACTACAAAACATATTTAAATTTCGATAGAATAATATAATTTATATTGTTCTTACTTGAGGTTGCGCTTGGATATTGGAAATAGCTATGATTTCATCCTCAAAGGGAACCACTATAACGAAGCCTGCGGAAGATGTACTCTTCATCTTGTATGCATTAAGCATTGGTTCAATTGTTTTGGCCCTACAAGGTAGGTAAAATCTAAAAAATTTGTTCTTGTATATATTAATGTATTATATCAACAATATGCTTCTACAGATGCATAATTTACAAAGAAATACATGCATAATACCATGACTTCAACTCAACAACTTGTGGGTAAGGAGGATTGACATAGATTGTTGTACTAAATTTGTTCGTCAGCCCACTAAATTTGTTCGATGATCCTACATGCATTCAAATATTAAGATTTGATTTCATTGTTTGATATTTGAAAAGGAAAAAGGTAAAATCATGTAAATACTAATACCTGATGATGATCTACCAATTTATCTAGCAAGAATAACTGGGTATTCATTTAGTTGTTTCAAAAGTTTATTCCCATAAAGATCAATGAAATCTTCCCAGAGAGTGAATTTTGTTGTTTTTTCCCGTAAACAATGAATAGAAGATGTTCAAATACTATATTGAAGTCACATAAAGAAAATACAATATTTGCTATCAGACTTTCCCATGGGAAATTGTAAAATGATTCACAAACCCAAAACTTAAAGCATATAGAAGAAATATGAAATGAGCAAGAGATGACAACAATTCATAATATTGATGATTTATATTTATATTCTGATATAATTGGTCATTAGTTTCAATCAACATACTCTTGTAGAAAGGAAGTCAAGTAAACGTAACAAAAAGTAATAGCTAAATGTGAACTTGGACGGTAAAATAAACCTCAAATGTAAGACATTCTTTATTTACAAGGTAATGTAAATTCAGAAGAAACAAAAAACTGAAAAAGTAAAATATCTGCCGTATAAATAAATTCTCCCAAATATTTAAGTTACAAAAACAAAAGAAGTCAAGTGCTAAGGGAAACAAATAACGAAATATTTTACTTTGCAATCACAAAAATCAAGCATCCAAGTTACGTCACATATACTTTAAGCTTAGGAGGTTAATATAAAATTGTGAACAATAACAAATATCTAGCTTAGACAAAAAAAGGATGTCCACATATTTCAATAAAAGAAAGCCATGTTTCCCTAAGAAAAATTTTGGCACTACGAAAATATAAGATGGAAGTTACACCTTTAATTTGGTTACGGTAATGCACGAAGTCACAACCTAATGGCTAAGATGTTCTTTTTCACACATTGCATTTTCAAGAATTCTAATAAAACCACTATCCTGAGTTTTAGCCTGAAGCTTTCGTTTCTATGTGTGCTTGATTTAACAAGAACCATATATCAAGAGTACGAGTGCTTCACCCTCTTACCACTCAGCAATACTACAATATGGAAATATAATCTCAAACTAAAATGTTGCAAAAACAACATCATAGTTGAATCACATGCAATCTTTTTTTGCCACAAAAAGAGAAAACTAGTAGCTACAGCCGAAAAAAGAGAGGTGGTTGAAGAGGAAGAGGAGGAGGAAGAGGTGAAGGAAGATAAGGAACAACAAAAGAAACAGAGGAAAAGAATAGGAGGAGGTATATCCTTACTGCTTATCCATAATGATAAATTCTTGAATTTTTCTTCCATTTGCAGCATATGTTGAAGGGCCGCATTTAATCACAATAGCAAGGACATCTTGCATTAAACCAAAAAAAAACAAGAAGTTAATATATTATGAAAATCATTGTGTCGTAATATTAAAAAGATTTTTGAGAAGGTATAACAAATGGATTGTATATGCACAAATATAGATAATTAAATCTTTAAATATCAAATTCAGATTCTTTAGGTTGATACTCGAAAGTGTCAAAGGCTGTGATAGTTAGCCACGTTGGCGGAGGTAATGGATCCTCAGGAGGAGTGACCTTTTCAATTGGCTCAACAATGGTGCTTCTATCAATTGTTCTAGTGAATTTGCATATAAATAAGATGACTCCTTCACTTGTGCAACTGACACCAAGTAAGTGTGGAAAGGATCAAATAGATCTTCAAAATGCGTTATATCAGCATTGAACATGATGGTCTGAACTTGATTTTCCTGTAAGAAAATAAGATACAATTAGATTTTAATCATATTCAAATAAATTGGGAAAAATTATACCAGCAAAATATATAAAATTTTAATATGAGCAATCTCTAGTATATGAGGAAAAAATGGATTAATTCAATTATTGTTGGCAAATTTGTGAATTTAAAAAAGAATACCTCTTCATCCTGTAAAGTCATGAGTTGATATTTTTTGGTTTTCTCTTTGTTGTCTTTGGGACGACTTTTATCAATTACTTGGATCTTACATGTCCATTCTTCTGTATTGGGAGTGATCATGTTGATAGTTAACCTTTCACCCATAATGGAATTAACCCTGCAATTACAACATATTGATATTAGTATAACAATATACATTAACAATAAAAATAGACATAGTTTAATATAAATGAAAGAATATAGAAAAAAATCAAGTTATAATTAGATTTACCATAAGAAATTATAGCATATGGTCAGGAAAAGGCTTTTTTAATAATTTCATCATAGACTATATTATATGTAGAGTGATCATCACCACCGTCAGCTATAGGTGGTCTAATTAATACTTTCACACAATTAGAACTTTTGGATCTTGATAAAGCAACATACAATTGACCATGAGAAAAAACAGGTTCCCGCAAATAGATACCCACAAAATCTAATATTTGACCTTGAGCTTTGTTTATTGTCATGGTGAAACATAATCGAACTGGAAATCATGTTCTTTTAAAAGGGAGAGGTAATTTTTCATCTTCTGATGTCATGAGTGGTATTCGCGGAATAAATACATGTCTATTTTTAAAATTGCCGCTAGATATTGTTGCACTAATGACATGAGTTTTAAAATCATTACATATTAATCATGTTCTATTGCATAAACCTTCACTGGGACTCAAATTTCTTAATAACATAATCGGGCAATTTTTCTTCAAAGCTAATTTGTAAGGAGGCAAACCAGCAGGATTTAAAGTGTGCAAAAAATTTTCATACTCACACTGATCTTTTGGATCAATTGTCTCATCAGTAGCAATGTAAAATTTTTTGGTGGTTGGAAATTGAGCAAGAAGCATGTCATTTTTTTCATCAACGAAATCATTTTTGGTTGTTAGAATAGCACGAGAAGTAATAAAAGAAGTATTTGAATGACATTTGTATAAATCAGGATAAGTAACTCGGAAGAGCATATTCAACGATTCTTTTTCAGAAGTAAAAGGAATAATGAGAGAATGAGGAATTTCAATTTTTCCATAGGCATTTTGTCTTTCTTTTCCATCACCAATTTTCATTAAATATTCACAAAAAGCAAGATCTGTTTTCGCACGCATATTCTCTGATAGTTGTAATTTTTCAAGTTGATTCTAAATTTTAGAGCACAATAAGCTTTCACGAATAAAATCTTCCTTTTTTCCACTACGAACTACGGGAAGAGTTTGTCTAAAATCACCACTGAAGACAACTAACTTTCCACCAAATATTATATTAGTTTCCATTAGATCTCTTAAAAGCAAATCGAATGCTTCTACTGTTTCTTTTTTTGCCATTGAAATTTCATCCCATACAATTAGTTTTGCATCTCGTATCAAAGATGCTAATGAACTTTGCTTACTAATATTGTAGATGAAATTCTCATTAACATCAATGGGAATTTTAAAGCGGGAATGAGCAGTTCGACCTCCAGGAAGAAGTGAAGCTGCAACTCCGGAACTGCAGTTGCTAAAGCTATAAATCCTCTGTGCCTCACAGTAGCTAATAAAGCACAATATAAAAAGCTTTTACCAGTTCCACCGGGGCCGTCAATAAAGAATGCCCCTGGTCTATTTGAAAATATTTTGTCAAGAATCATATTGTAAGCTCTTCTTTGATTAATGTTTAATTTTTTTCTAACATTAAATCTTCTTCGCTAACAATGATGTTTCTTTCGAAATCAACATTTTTAGCTTCTTTTGTTGCTGCAGATGGCTTTATTATTTCTGAAATTAGTTCAAATTCATTAATATCATGACCCATTGAATGAAGAATATTGTTAATATGGTTTAACACTTTGTAACAGATTTCTCTTGTATCTATATTCGAATTTTTTTTTATATCTTCAGACATTGAGTTTTCAAATTTTTTCCATAGTACTCTTGGATTAGTTGGATTACAATATATTAATAACATAGCAAATAATTGTCTTAAACTGGACGGCATTTGATAACTTACCGCTTCAGACATACATTCTACCAAATTATTATCACAAAGTAATAATCCTTTTTTTCTGCAGCTTCTCTAAATGTTTTACATTGTACTCAATTTACAGTTCGCAAATCTTTATATGATTTTGGTCCTCTCATATTCATTAGAAGCAATCTAAGATAGTATCTTTCCCCTTCAGTTGGATGACATGTCACCACACGACCAATAGCACTTCCTCGTTGACGACGTGTCCATGTTTTGTCTGTTGTTGACCATACAAAGTATTCTGGAAATTCTCGATATAATAAATTTAAGTCCATAGCATCTTTGTTTTCTTGATTCATTAAAAAAAACTCAGTTAACATTGGTTTTTTAACCATAGGATTGTTCACAATTTTACTAATATTGTCTGTATTCTTGAAGGAAACAAGTTGTTGTCCATCAAGATGAAGCTGAAGATGATATACATCTGGAAACATTTCACTAATAGGAAAAGCAAATATACGTCATGCAGCCTCAGGTGGTGACACCCCCTAGCAGATTGGTATTGCTTTATTTCATCTATCTCTATGTTTGTATCATTAGCATTTATATGAAATGCAATTTTATCATGTCCTTTGTAAATATACTTATAAATGTACTTAACAACTTTAATATCAGACCAAATTTCTACATTCATATGACAATTGAACTTACAAAGTAAATATGGATTATAAGGAACAACCCATGAATTATCAAGAAGGTGTCCTCTTATTTGCACTTTCTTTCCTGGGTTTCGTCTTCGATAAATTGGATATGAATTTTTTCCTTTAGTTGTTTGTTCTGCAAACTCCTTTGGATACTTAAATTTATAATGACCCTTTATTTTCATGCAAGAATTTGTTGGATTTAATTCTCCACATGGACCGTGCATCATATGATCTATAACAAGTGAATATAGTGTAGGATTTTTTTTTTTGTCCGGTAATTCAGCACATACAAATCGATCATATGCTTCAGGAGTTAGTAATTTATATTCCTCATCAAGTCTTATAAGAAAATGAGCATGTGGAAGTCCCCGCTTTTGAAATTCCACTGTATACATAAATGTTGCGACTTTACCAAATATTTGTGTTTTGAGAATATCCTTTTTCAACTCTTCTAGTTTTGCTCGAAATTCTCGACTAATTAAATTGGGTCTATTTTGTGTTTCATCTATCGTCAGAATGTTTTCTTTTATTTCAGGCCAAGAAGGACTACACGTCATAGTCAAAAATATATCTGGTTTTCCAAACCATTGCACTAATGCAATAGCATCCATATACCTTCGACGCATATCTCTTGGGCCTCCTGTAAAGCTAAGTGGGAGTATTTTTTGTTTTCCAACCTGTGAAGCTTCTCTTTCCCCACATCGTAGAATATCTAAGAGCCCACCTAATACATCAAATCTGAATAAATCCTGATTGAAAGTTGCAAAGTCTAATCTTTGGGTTTCAACTTTTATCCATTCATCCACAATATATTGTTGAAATAATCTTCCAGCATGTAAAAGTATATTTTCATCATCTCTTATTTGAAGTTTGTAACAATAATATTCACGACAAGAAACATTGTCTCTTTTTCGTTTTCCTTTTTGCATAACCTCAGCTTCCATCGAGTAATCCATCAATTGAACACATATTCATTATACTCGGTAATTGTTCATGTTCACAGTATATTCGCAGTGTTGATTTACCAGTAGAATGCTTAATTTTCTTAATACCACAATGCCATCCATTTTGACCGTAAGGAAACAATAATGGATATTGTAATGGATCATAACAACCATAATAATAATTAACCAACTGACTTCTATCACTTTTTGTATATATACGGATATGCGATGCAGGAATAGAATTATTGATATCTTGTTCGACCCATATACCTGCAACTTCTGATACAGTTGGTAAATTGTATACTCGTTGATCTAAACCAGCATCACTCTTAAGCGCAATGTAGAAATTAGATAATTGTGGAATATTTATTAAGGATTTCATAAACATTGAGTATGGATTAATTTTTAGTATATTCATCAAACTTTTTACAATATCTTCATTCAGTTTATTGAACATGCCATTCGATTTCTCACTTCATTTTCACTATCAAAGAAGTATAACTGAAGGTTTTTTCCTTTTTGATCAGTTGGTATCAAGTCATTTATGAAATGATACATTTGCCCTTGAATACGGAATGTATAGATACCATATTTCTTTTTGCTAGCTCTTTATCATAAGTTACACCAAGGGATGTGAACGCAAATATGTTATTGTATGTTCTAATGTAAGTTCGAAAATGTTTTGATTCCTCACTATTTCCCAAATAAAGGTTTCTTAACTCTGTTGGCATTTCATGTGAAATTAGTTGAATAGAACCGTTACCACAACAGAATGCAGGCGGTTCATATTCAAATTTTTTTGCTCCACAAAATTGGCATTTCGGTACTTCTTTTAATTTAACATAAGTATTTTCTGCTTGCATACAACTCGAACAACCAGGTCCTGTGAAAACATTCCCTGCATATGAAGACTCTAGTATTGAGTAGATTATTAACCCAAAAAAAAGATAATCACTATTGTTCTTAGTAGATGTAGTTTAAATAAAGCTTGATTTTTAGTCATACCTGTTCTTTTCCTTGAAAAAGGCAATGGGTCTTTTATAATAAGAGAACTTTGGTTGGTAGAAACATTGCCAGCATTAGAGGTTGATGCGTTAGCTGCATCAATACTAATTGAAGATTCAGTAGGCCGTCGTCTTTTTAATTAAGCTCTGTTTGCACGTCGTCATACCAAAAGGGCCTCTTTTTTATCAGATGGTATCAATGTATATAATTCGCGTCTCCTAGCCCTTTTGTCAGCATGTGATTTTCCAAAAGTCCGGTCATTTTCATGGTTTCTATTTACCATTAAGGCAATTTATCTATTGCCAAGATATTTTTCTTATTACTAAGGCTAAAAAGGAAAACACTAAAATTTTAGCTACTTATAATGATATGCTTATAAGTAATGTAAGTTTAATCATACTGACATATATCACAAACAAAAGCAACTCAGATAATGATATAAATTTCATAATTGATTCTGAATATAATAAATTACCTTTAGTTGAAAAGAGTTAAAGTATGATGAGATGACCTGAAATGAATAAAATGAGTAAATTCTTTACTCATCAAAAACAATAATAAAAATAAATAAATGACAAACGACTAAGATAGACAGAGGGAATGCTATTTCCAAAATCAAAAACTTTTGATGCTCTGGTCAACACCTCCTCTTTAATACGAAGAAGGTAAGAGAAAAATATTTTTTGTTAAAATAAATTTAGTAGAAGAGCAGTACTTACCACACAGTGATTTGTTACTAAAGCGTGTGAACACGCAGCTATCACAATAAAGAGTGAGTCCTATAAGGAAAATAAAACAAATAAAGAAAAATATCAATAATAGGCAACCACAACCAGAAAAGGATAGATAATATTCAAATTACAAGAGTAAAAGACATTATTATATTGTTTATATCTTAATATCGTCATTGTTTGAATCAATTCCTATATAATAGAGATGAAATTTGAATCTACATGCATAACTTAGGTAGATGAGTATCAATTCGGACAACTTAAAATGCTAGTAGAAGAATCAATAGAAGAACTTCAAAGGGGACAAGTTTAACGATTACCAAGTCACTTATCAAGGCATGCAGAATGAAATCTATGGTAATATTTAGGCATAACTTTAACAATTTCTTGTCTTCATAGGATCCCAAACATATTGAGCATTCACTTTCCATGTAATTCAAGATTAGTTCATATAATGCTACAAACATTAAATTTACTTAAAATTATTTGCTGTTTTGCTGATTATTGGTCAAAGAAAAGTTTTTTTTTTTGGCAATCCTCTAGGCAAGTGCCTAGGGCTAATTTTATATATATAAAAGTAAAAATAGAGAATTACAACTATTACAACAATTCCGGTGATCTTGAACGATGAAAGAAGTAAAATATAAGATGCACATAAATCCTATTACCAATGTTAAGTATAATACTCATCATTGATAGTACAATTTGTATACTAATAACGCGCCTAATGTGATGATGTATAATCTGGAAAATTATACTTTGTAATCTCAGTAGCCGCCGACGAATACAACATACTTGGTATTGTTGCTCCATCTGGCTTGACGAGCTTGTTTGAAGCAAAGTATGGTCAGTACGTGTGATATCTCCCTGCTTTATCATGTTCTCCTTCATAAGGATTCGAACATGAATATTGCCTGCTCTTTGAGTGTCCCANCTCAGTAGCCGCCGACGAATACAACATACTTGGTATTGTTGCTCCATCTGGCTTGACGAGCTTGTTTGAAGCAAAGTATGGTCAGTACGTGTGATATCTCCCTGCTTTATCATGTTCTCCTTCATAAGGATTCGAACATGAATATTGTCTGTTCTTTGAGTGTCCCAACATTTGCTTTTGTTCCTTCCTTCACATGAATGCAGCCGCCCAGATTTGTCATTTGAGTGAAATGAGCATCCATTTTTATTGTCATACAAGCATTGTGTTGTCTCTTGTACATTGTTGTACCATGTTTTTTGTGTACGATTGGTTCTACACGATTTACTGCATTGGTCCTGTAATTTTGAGTAGTGGTCGAATCCCAGATTTGAGCCATTCCATTGTTCCCACAGTTCTGGACATGACTGGTCCACAGGTTTAAAACATTCCTGCTCAGTTCTGCCCCAAACATTATCTGTGTATGCACAGATTTGTCTTCCATTTTCTTGTACCAATGACTCGATTGTTGTACTGTGAGTCTTATTGTGTATTTGCTGCGAATTTCTGGCAGCACACCTGTCCATTGCCCTTGTCCAGTATATGTTTACTTCCAGTTTGTGCACGAGCTGATATCCTTCATGTTCCTGAGCCAAACTGTATGAGCTTACTATCGTTTTTGCTCCGACATAATGGACATTATTTAGAACTATCACCCTTTGAATTCCAAACCACAAGTATGGCATACAATCTGTTCCTGCAAAAAAGAAAGCTGAGTTATTATAAAAGTGCAATCTTTCAGCTGTCCCCATCTCATTTGTCTTGCTCATCCTTATTGTCTCGCAACTTTCACCCTTAGATATGGGCATTGTAATTTGTCGTTATTGACAATTCTCCTGCCTTTTGTATCCAGTTCCTGAAAACTATGTGCTTCGACATTGCCCATGTCAAGTGCTTGATTTGCCAGATGGTCAGCCAAGCAATTCCCTTCTCTCAAGATATGTGACAGCTTCACATCAATCGTTGACATGACCTTTGCAATATCTTCTAGATATTCTGTAATGACCCAAGGAACATTCCACAATCCTTCTATAGCGTTCTTCAAGAGTAGCGAATCTGTTTGCAAAATAATTCTGTTGAATCCTTTCTCCTCACAGTATTTTAGAGCTTCCAAAATTGCCAATGCCTCTGCCTCATTGTTTGTTGTGTCATGTATCACCTTTCCACATGCATACTTATATTGCCTTCATCATCTCGAAGTGCATATCCAATTGAGCTCCTGCCCGGATTTCCTTCGATGCCCCATCGTAGTTAACTTTAATCCATCCTTGTGTTGGCAATTCCCACAAGACTTTAGTAACCTTCAATTTAGGCGTATACTGTTCCATCATTTGCAGGATGTCTGGCCAGTTTTGAGGAATGTTAGCCATTGCAGGTTTCCTCAATCTAACAAGCGATTGAATGGTTGTGGAAACCTGATAAATCACCCGTCTAATCGTCACTATTTACCCATGTTTGTAACTATTTCTTCTCTTCCACAGCTCCCACATAATGATGGTAGGAAGTGCTTGAAAAATTGGCTGCAATCTTGATATTACTGTAAGTGTCCAGCACTTCACAATTGCCTGGTGCATAGACAGTCCCTCTATTTTAATTCCAGCATGCATTAGGAAGTATGACCACACTTTTTTTGCAGCAAACGAAGTAAAGAAAAGGTGTTGTAATGTTTCTTCTCCTGGTTGCACACAGCACCAGCATCGAGAAGGCATTGCGTATCCCATTTTCTTCATATGGTCGTCTAGGGGTAGTTTTGCTTTCCATACTTTCCACATAAAGAACGATATCTTGAATGGTAATCCTTTTACCCACATCTTTATGTATGCTGCCCCCGTGTCCTTTCTCTGCCTTAAATACTCCCACGCTGATTTCACTGAAAAAATTCCTCCATTCTCAAGGCACCAGTAAGGTACGTCAAGCAATTGCTGCTCCCCTGGTGGTTTGATATTGTCGATAATGTGTGCTGCATATTCCCCAGGCAGAATGTTGGTTAACTTGTCTGCATCCCAAGCTCCTGTATGCATAACATCAGTAACATTGTTAACTGATTCATCAATGTAAAAGCCATCAGGTGTGTTGAAGTATAATGCTCCCAATCCAGTCCAGTTGTCAAACCAAAAAAGCGAAGATCCCATTTTCAGACGCCACCTAATTTGATGTTCTATAATGTCCCGACATTCCAGCATTCGTCTCCAAACATGCGAACCTTTTTTCCAAGGTACTACAATGGGATTTAATTTTTTGCAGTATTTTTGGGACATGAAAGAGCTCCATAAAGTTGGTTTTGTCCTGAAGTTCCACCAGAGCTTACAAAAAAGAGCTTTTGCAACATCGTGTAGAGATCGAAAACCTGCTCCTCCTTCTTCATAAGGTCGACATAGAGTACTCCATGATGCCCAGTGCCTACTTTTGCCACCAATAGAGCTACTCCAGAAGAATTGTGCGAATATCTTGTGTAGCTTGTTAATGACAAATGAAGGTGGATTCATTGTCGATAAGAGATGGATAGGCATGCTTTGTATGACATGTTTGATTAAAATCGCCCTACCACCAATCGATAATAATTTTCCTTTTCATGCTTGCAATTTGTCCATGACTTTATTGATCAAGCCATCATAGTATTCCATTTTCCTTCGAGTGTAGAAAATTGGGCATCCAAGGTATATGAAAGGGAATTCCTGCTTGCAAATACCCGTGATTCTTTGAACCTTATTTACAACATCCTCAGGTGAAGAATCATGCATGTAGACTGCTGATTTTGACTTATTAATGAGTTGTCTAGAAGCTTTTTCATATGCTGCCAAAATCCCAACTAGCAGCTACAACGACTTAGCATCTGCAGAAGAAAAAATTATAGTGTCGTCGGCGTATGCTAGATGGTTTATTTTTGGACTCCACTTTGGCATTCCAAAGCCACAGAAGTATAAATTAAGGTGCAAATCATTTAACGCCCTTGAAAACGCCTCAGCTGCAAGTATGAATAGGGTTGGTGATAGAGGGTCTCCTTGCTTGACGCCCCTAGTAGACTTGAAAAATCCATGTGGCTGACCGTTGATGAGAACGGTGTACCAATTGTTAGACACAATTCCATAAACCAAGTCAATAAATGTTTCACAGAAACCCATTTGCCTCAGGACTTTAGTGAGGAATAACCAAGAAAGATGATCATAGGCTTTCGTCATATCTAGTTTAATCACTACATTTGGTTCGGGCTTCGATCTCAGTCTAATATCAGTGATTATCTCTTGAGTGAGGAGCACATTTTCAACTATGTTTCGACCCTTTACAAACCCCGCTTGTTCGTCAGAAATAAGAGTAGGAAGTAGACTAACTAGCCTCTCGTGGATGACCCTTGAAATAACTTTGTTGATGAAATTGCTCAGGCTTATTGGACGTAGATCTAAAAATGTTTGCACATCTTTCTTCTTTGGTAATAGAACTAGATTTGTATACCATTGAAGAAACTCTTGACCATGTTAAAGACATCGTCACCAATGATATCCCAACATGAATGAAAAAAAGCTCCTGTGAAACCATCCGGGCCAGCTGCGCTTTCTCCATTTAACCCCATCGTAGCCTGTTGGACCACATCTTTTGTGGGCTGCTTCATCAGCTGAATGTTCTACTCCGTTCCTACTAATTTTGGAACATGACCTATAATTTCAAAATCAGATGGGCATCTTTCTTCATGGAACTGTTCTTTAAAGAAATGAACTGCTTCTTCTGCGATTTGAGTATTGTCATCTATCCAGATTCCATCTCTGTTTTGAATCCCTCGTAGCTGCAATCTCTTCCTTCTGCCGTTGACTTGAGCGTGAAAGAATTTAGTGTTTCTATCTCCGTCTTTGAACCAAGCCATCCCTACCTTTTGTTTCCAAATTTGTTCCTCAAGAGCAAGAAATTTGATAAGTTGTGCTTGAACTTTACACAGTCTTTCCCTATTTGCCCGAGTTGGATTTATTTCAAATTGCGCCTCATGAACCTTGACTACCTCTTCCAAACTAGATATCTTCTTGAAAATATCTCCATATGTCGACTTGCTCCATTGTGACAGTCCTTTTTTCACTTTTTTCATTTTGTGGTTGAATAAAGTGAAAGGATTTGCTTCAAAATCTGTGTTCCAATTTTCATTAACCACATCTTTAAACGTCGGATGTTTTGTCCAAAAATTGAGAAATCTGAAGGATTTCTTTATCACAGTCGATTCAAGGTTACATTTTAGCAACATGGGGCAATGGTCGGATCCAGTTTTTGGCAGATGAGTGACTTCTATTCCAGGGAACATTTGTTGGAAATCAATGTTAGCCATACATCTGTCAAGTCTTTTGAAAATGCAATCTTCCTCCGCTCTTCCATTCCACCAAGTATATATACTTCCCTTGAATCCAAAGTCAAATAGATTACAGGTGTTCATGCAATGTCGGAAATCGTCTACTTCATTCAAAGTCACTGGACGTCCCCCAAACTTCTCCTCATCATCCCATATGACATTGAAGTCACCTCCAACAAGCCAAGGAACATCCATATCTGTTTCCATTGCATATAATGAGTCCCAAAGCTCTATTCTTTCTATTGCATCACACTTGGCATAGACTAAAGTAACATTTTGGACAATGCGTGTTTCTGTATGAGTCATTTGTAATGTCAGCTGCTGCTCCATGTCATATAGAATTGTGACGTCGCACAGTTCGTCAACGAAAGCCCACACCTTATTTGAAATGTTAGAAAATGCTTGAGAAAAACCTATTTGTCTTCTGTATAATTCTAGCTTTGAACCATCCTGCATTGGTTCCATGAGACCAACAAAATCGAAATCATGTTGTCTATTCATTTTTACGAGCCTCTCAAAGGCTCGCTGCGTATTGACAGATCTAATATTCTAAATAATTGCATCCATTAACAAGTATTTGATTTAGAATAACCTCGTCGAGTTTGGATCCCAACAGTAGGCATGCCAGAATTGTTTCTGTTAATCTTTCCTTTTTTTCCTTTTGCAGCAGATTTAACTTTGGCTATATAAGTTGGAGAGATATCACCTTTTCTTGCCACATTGATGAAGTTTTGAGTTGTTGATTCCTCATCTAAATCTCTTCCATTTCCCAGAATGTCTTCATCTTCTTTTTCTTGATTCATAACTGGTCTTGCCAATTCATGAGAGGGACAGCTTGGTATTACGCCTTTGGAATCATTATACTTGAGTATCCTCACCCTACTATTATCACCAAACTCTTTTTGATTATCAGTTTTTTTTAATCATCCCTTGTTCCCCTTCAGCGATGCATTTTAATCCATCCAACTTATCATTTTTGCCCAAGTGCATTGAGGCGTCTGTAATTGTTATATCTGCTTGTTTCCTGGCTTCACTGCATTCTGCAGCATGATTTTCCTCCTCTGGTATATTTTTTACCTTTTCTCTGTTTTGAAACAGAGTATTTGCTCTGTTTGGAGCTCTAGTATGTTCTGCTACAACACCTGCATTATCATTTACACTTTGATCTTCCTCCTCTATGACCTCCTGATCAGCTTCAGCTTCTTCATTAATTCCTTTTGGAATTTCTCCTTCTTCAGAATCCTCCTCTGCTTGATCCTCCCAAAGCTTGCCACTAGTCAGAGCTAGTCTGTCCTTCTCATTCACTTGTTCTGATGATCCATATGTGTCTTGAGATGGGATATCCTGACACGAGTGATTCGTGGTAACTAACTTGCTTCCAAAGATCTTATTAGCCCATTGTGTTGTGGACTCTTGTTTTCTATGCTTTTGATGCTCATTCTCTTTAGCAGAAAGATTAAAAGCAATAGCATTTTGATTTAACTGATTTGCATCTTTTGACAATTGTT